ACTGGGATTGCCATGTAATTCAATCTTGTTTGTAATTCAAATAAAAAAAAAAAGAACTTGTCCTGTTGCTCCATAAGGTATCAAAAGATTCACAAAGTTTAAACGTGATGTCAAAATAGGCATGCTGCCACATAGTTTTAATACCAGCACTCAGAATTTGAAGTTAGAGAATCTCTGAAACATTGAGGCCAGCCTGGTCCACATAGGGGAGACCTAGCCAAGCTGAGAGTATACATTGAGACACCATCTCAAAAAGAAAAGAATAACTGCTAGGTATTGTGATGAACCAGTCCATAGCAGATTATAAATAACAGAGTCAATAGTGTCCCAAAATTTCAAAATTGAAAGAAAATTTAATAAAATCCAAAAGACTGAAACATTGATGGCATTTTTAACAAAATTCATCTGGGATATTTCTAATGATTCTCTCACCTGATATTTTTCTATAGTATAGGAAAAACAACAGACACCAACTATATCACAGGGGAAAATGATTATTTTAAAGATGTATCAGACATCATCAAACAAAATAAAAAATAGATTCCAGGTTGTAATAATATGAAAATCATTGAATTGGCTTTAACTCAGCATCTATTACTAAAATATCTGCTAGGGTGGGGACATGCATTCTGGAATATTTTCACTGCTCAAAGTCATTTCAATGGTCACCCATCATTGTGATGTCCACTGTCCACCAAGGTAAGCAAGGACATGATAACAGCAAACAGATGGGGTAAACAGAGAGGTTATCCTATTGTTACTATTGATAACTAGTATTGGAGCCATATATATGACCTGTTTTTCTCTGAGTCCAACATTCACAGAATGGCACTAGTCACTGTGTTCTTCAATTCTAGCATAATTTGGAAATCTAGGTGGGACAAACAGACAGATTTCCAGACCCCTTTATGTCTGTCCTGCATCTCTAGGAAAACTGAATACCAGAGCAGGAATCACAATCTCACAGCCCTGAAGCCATCAGGCAGGAATCAGGAATGAGGCAGGAGAGGCAGGCATGAATGGGCCCATCTAGTGACCTTATCACTCTAGAACACATGCTGATCTTGATAAATATTTCTAGCAAAGCTACAAATCAGTGTAATCATTGCTAAACCCAAGCTTTGATGTGTAATTGCTGCAAATGTAAGAAACAGAAAACACTGTAGTTTAACAACCATTTTTAGAGCAGACAAGAAAGTCCCATTTGGCAAACGCAGAATGCAACTTCTTACTATATGACTTCCCAAGAAACCCCCAATAAGACACATACTTATTTCATAGAACTCTGTAGAGCAGCAGTGGAATGTGGACTAAGATCCAGCATCCCACTCTGCTATGGGCTGAGAGACTCTAATTGGAGTCAGGATTACTCAAACTGAAATAGAAATTATTACCCTCTTGCAACTCTGTTCTTCTCAACAACTGGGCTGACAATGATGATACCAACACAACAGCCTTTTTAACTCTTAGCAAAACCAGTATTTCATTGATTGTGGTAAACTGATCCGCTATCAAAAATGCTTTGTCCTTTTGAAATAAATTTAAATATAAATATGATCTGGAGACAATTATACATTTAGAACTCTGAATGAACCAGTGATAGTCCCAAAGTATGTGCACCTGGAATAGCACTCCTCTCAGGCAGAGCCTGTGTCCTGCTCCCTCCTTGCCCCTTCATTTCTGCATTGTCTCCTCCT